AGAGACAAGACCATACGTCTCCGCAGCCCAGGGATACCGTCGCTTGTAGGCCTCCCAAATCATATATTCCCTGTCGGTAGGGGGACAATCCCCCTGCCGCCGTGGGCCCTTCATAAACTCGGGAACCACCAGATCAGGTGGAAACGGTCACTCCTTAAGCTCACTGACGCAAGTCGCATAACGAGGCTGGGGAGCGCAACCCACGTCCTTCGAGGTAGCAGACGACACCGCTGAAGCGTACGAGGGCTGCCGAGACGGCCGCGTCGCCGTGCGCACAGGAGCAGGGGACAATCGACGAGATGGCAACTCCACCGAGACCGCAGGAGACACTGAAGAGACGGCCGGAGACGGAAGAGGCGTCGAGACCGCAGCCGATGAAACGGGGACCGAGGAAGGGGTTACAGAACCCCCAGAACAAGCAGTCTTTTTCAACACCATCACCAGGCCACCCCGCTCACCACGAACCTCGGCAGGGGGAACCACCCCCCATGAAAAACCGGAGCCATCCGATGCAGGCGACGCACTCGAAGCAGGAACCTCAGTCACCATATCTGCAGTGAAGGCCGAAACACTGGCACGGGCATCCTCAGGCAAATGCACCTCCACCGTCACCGTAGTACGCAACATAACCGGAGCCACCCCTCCGTCGCCGGCAGATTCACAAGCGACGAAGTCGCCAACATCTGTCCATGCCGAAGACGAACGCCGAGAACGCTTAGGCTCGGGCCGCACATCATCCGACCCGGAGGCAGACTCCGAGACACGCGCAACACAAGCAGGGCGAACCGATGCACGTCGCAGAATGGCAGCATCCTCAACCACATGGGGCACCAGGCCAGGCACAGGAGGAAGCGCCGGATCCACCCCAACACCCAGCACAGCCGGAACAGACGGCGAGGGTGCAGGGACAGGGTCAGATGCAGCAGAGGACGAACTGGAAGACGAGGGAAACGAGCAGCAGGCAGTCTGAAGAACCCCAGGGACACAAGTCGGAGCAGGACGATCACCCTGCGACGCCACCACCTCTTTAGGAGAGGCGACAACAACAGGGGGCGCACCAGGCGGCGCAACAGGCGACACAGGGGGCCCATCCGGGGCTGAAGAGACGGCCACATCCACTGAATCCTCCTCCACAGGAAGCGGCGGAAAATCCACCTCACTGAAGAGGTTCACGGGTGCAACGGCAGGCGCAGAACAGTCAGCAGCCTGATGGCCCAAGAGGCCACAACGATAACACGTCCGAGGCTGGCGGGCGTAAAATACCCGAACGTTGTAGCCCATAAGCCGCACAGAGGACGGAATATCTTTTTGGAGCCTCATGCCCAGGGTGCGAATGTTGGTCCTCACACCCTTAAGTGGACTGGAAGACACCACGTTCACCCGCACACTAATCACTGCGCCATACCGGCCGAAGTACCGCCGTAGCAGACTCTCTGGAAACTCCAACGGAGCCCCATGCACACTGACGTACGTGAGGGCACCACTCCGATCAGATAGTGACACAGTGCCCGCACCATCCAGCAGGGGAAATGTCCGCCCCTCGTAACGACGGAGAAACTCGCGATATGCCAATTCCTCGGTTAACTTCAATATCGCTCGACGAGCCGTCACCAGCTCGACACCATAAATGTCGATCACAGGGACATGAAGCACCTCACACACCAGCACTATCTCTGGGTACTCAGCCCGGCCGGAAAATTCGAGGCCCACAGGCTGAGCCCGCAGTACAGGGGGGAGGGGGACCCCCATCGTTAACTCCACGTCAGCACAGGCAGGCAGAGACACACCCGCCCTCAACCGGCCAAATTGGTAAACACCACCAACAGCCGGAGCACAGATTCACCACGTCCTTCCCCTACCGAAGCTAGGGCTAGACTTCCTGTTCTGATGTACCTGGTACTGTTTAGCTGTTGGAGTGAGACTCTGGAAGTAACGTAACGTAACATTGTTATTGCCGTGTATTACTAAGTTTTGTTGAATAAATTGTTGTTACAAAAGTATCTTTTCGTCAACAACCTTTGAGTACTGCTCCATTATTTTGCTTTGCTAGAGCAACTTCCATTTTTTTTAATTTAACGGGATTAAGCTCTTTGATCAAGCCCAGAGTTTCAAACATTAAATACTAAGTTTGGTGTTAGAACCCATTTGTTACCCCTCTAGATTGATTATTCAATTGAGGAGCTAACGACCTAGGGATTGGAGAACGATTGTTGGGCCTCGGCGTTTGCTCTCTCCTCCTAAACTAACATTATCACATGTGGCACCCAATCTGGAGTTAAGACTTGTGGAGGGAAAATTTAGTAGTATCACATGGAGGACACTTCACTAGGACGACAGTTACAGGGAATTGGGGAAAGAGAGAGAGAGAGAGAGAGAGAGAGAGAGAGAGAGAGAGAGAGAGAGAGAGAGAGAGAGAGAGAGAGAGAGAGAGAGAGAGAGAGAGAGAGAGAGAGAGAGAGAGAGAGAGAGAGAGGGGGGGGTGAAGTGAATTATCAGGAGAAAGCGCCAAGCCATTACAACTATATAGCACTGGGAAGGGATCAGGATAAGGATTTGAGATGGGACGGGGGAAGGAATGGTGCCCAACCAGAGTGAGAGGATGTCACTGAGGGATGTCCCACCCTTACTGTAGTCTCCGTGTCTGTAGATTGTCATATTCTTTAGCATATTTCTAAACAACTAAACAGACAAAAAACATACTAAACAACAGGAGGCCTGAAAGAAATAGGAAAAGCAGCCATGGTGGTACGAGGAGCGAGAGACAGAATGCTAATACTTGTGGATTTCAATCACAGAGAAATAGATTGGATAAGTAAGAATCCCCATGGTGGTGAAGAGACATGGAGAGCAAAACTGGTAGAAGCAGCCGATAAGCACTTCCTGAAACCACATATTACAGAACCAACAGGAGTAAGGGGGAGATAACCCACCATCAACACAAGACTTGGTGTTTACCCAAAATGAGGCACATATGGAGAAGATAGAGTATGAGATGCCTGGGGAGCAAGTGACCACTGTATTATTTTGCTGCAGTACATATTGAAGCTAAAGAATCTGAATAAACCAAGAAATATGCTAAGGAATATGAGAATATACAGACGTGCCGACTACGCTGAGGTATGGGACTTGCTGAGTTATGTCCAGTTGGGGAGGGAACTGGACGGTAAGACAACAAATGAAAATATGGAGGTTATTGCTCAGAAATGTACATATAAAACGGAGCTGTACATCCCACTCAAGAAGGAGGTTGATGAAATAGGCAAAATAAACCCCAGGTTTAATAGGCATTACAGAGAAGCAAAAGAGAGGAACAAAAAAGCATGGAAAAGTACCGAGAGCTGGAATCAGAGGAAAATAGAGACTCACTAAAGAGAACCAAAAATGATTATAGAAGAGTCTGGAAGGAAGCTGAGAGTCAATTTTAAAATTACATAGCAGCAAAAGCTAATGGCCAACCAAGGCTCTTTTATAGCCATATAAGGAGAAACACAAATCAGAGACCACGTGCTAAGGCTAAAGAGGCGCGGTGTAAGTCTTATGGAAAACGACAAGGAGGTGTGTGAGGACCTAAACAAAAGATTCCAGGAAGTACACGCAGAAATCACAATAGTGTGATGCATCAAATGTGATGCATCCTCATCACAGCCCTTGTAGATTTGTTCATTCCAGGAGGTGTTTTCAATGGAACCAAGGTGGAAACCAGAGTTTTGTGATGAAAAGTCAGAGGAAACACTGGATGACATCACCTGGAAAAACACCTGAAAGACCCAGAAGTAACAAAATCAATTGGGCCAGATTTAATATCACCATGGCTACTGAAGGAGGCTGCAGATTTATTATGGTGCCCACTAACGAGGTTTTTATTAAAACACTCGAAACAGGAATTCATCCAGAATTATGGAAAAGGGCAAATTTTGTCCCAGTATTCAAGAAGGGGACAGACAGGAGGCACTAAATTACAGACCAGTGTCACTAACAAGTATTACTTGTAAAGTGCTAAAGAGAGTCATCAGGTTGAGAATAGTGTACCATCTAGAAGGAATAAATTGTGTAAGAGAACGGCAACATGGATTTTGAAAGGGAAAGTCATGCCTGACAAACTTGATCGAGTTCTATGACAAAATTACGCGTAGTTCACCTCTTCGAGTCTGTGGCCGAGGAGATGAACTAGTACCTATGACTTCCTGTACTACATCCCAGGGAATGGCTCCGAACTATGAATTTCTGTACCACATTCATTTGTAAGGTGCCGACCTATGACTGTCTGAACTACATCCCCGGGTAAGACGCCGAATATAATTAAGTATCCATGTTGATGGTAGTGGGTGTTGTCTATCAGTCTGGATAACACTGCTTAGCGTACTCTGTTGACGCTAGACAATTCTCTGCTTGATGCTCGTTTGTCTAACTTCTAAAACCTTCACTCTGCCACTTTACCTATTGATGCTGATGCTGTTTAAGATGAGAAAACCTACAAATTTACACGCTTGTATTCTCTATAAAGCATGTTAATGTTTACATTTCCTTCCATAGTGCACATGTAAAGATTCATTAATTGTTAGGTCCGGTTTTGGTGAGATCGCTGCACAGTTCCCTCGTTCTCACACGTAATGACCAGTGACCCGCACACTATAGATACCAGCCACCAAAATGCGTCCTCCAATTACAGGTCATTGTTCTCTAGAGTTAAGGGTTTTACACTTATTGTGGAGTAAACCCCTTTAATTTATACGTTTGTTCAAGCGTGAGAACGGGCGAGATTTTGGGAACCAACCGGAATTAATGCTCACAATTATTTAGACGAAGCGTTCTACTGTTCTTCCTTAACATAACTTTTGTGCCTCATTTTGCTCTATGTCCACTTACAGCTGGTTTATTATCATCTTTAAAATAAAGACTAAGCGTTAATTTTTACACGGAATTATTATCTCTAGATGGATGCGAGCACTTCATTAGCCGAGTTGGTAACACTGGGGTGTTGACTTGGGTGGAGCCTCAGCCAATGGCAAGTTATATGTGTTGCTTGTGTTGGTGTGATCTGTTGTGCTGCTGCTCCTCCTCCCTCCTTCAGTGTTACCTTCAGTGTCCGACGATGAGCTGCAGTGTGTAGACGTATTTATATGATTATTCTTCAGGGAAGACTATAGTTAAACTGATCATAATTTAGGGACGGTATAATTAACTGCTTTAATAACTTTTTGTAGATACAGTATTAGCCAAGTGTAGTAGTTCTCTTGGGGTGAGCAGAATGTATTTGCATTGTATTTGTTGCGAGAGGCACTGTGATTGGTGTAATTATGCAATATGAGTAAAGAAATTTACAAATGGTTGTAATTCTTGCCAACACTGTTAGGAGGGAATATTATGTTGAAGGGTCTGAAAGACCGGGAGCGTGTACTGCTCATCGCGGACAATGGTTCATGCACGCTGTAAATACTGCCTTCCTTGTCACATGATCTTCCGCTTATTATGTAGAGCAACTCGTTGGTGTTTGGTGTCGTGCAGGAATAGGATAACAGTACAGCGGATGGCACATTTAACCCGGAGAGAATGTAATTTTGGTCCATCTCTATTATGGGTTAAGTTGACTTCTGTGAGGACTTCAAATAACGCAGCGTGAAATCGGCAACGTAAAAAAATTGCTGGTAACGAGCCTCGCCAATGGCGGAGTTTATACTATTTAAAAAATTTTATATATATATTTATCGCTGCCATTAAGCAAATTCTTGACAACGTGACTTGTGTGTGTTTAAAATAAATACCACCTCTTGATCGGTCGGCTTGTGATAGTAGGTTGACTTTAGTGTTGTGAAGGTAATATAGCAACTGTGTAGTTGTAAGTAGGAGTTCCTCCTAATAAAGTTTTGGCAGAATTAGTGAAGCTACTTGTACCTAATTCATCCAGCTTGTCGAATTTTGTTTGATATATCTAATAAATATTTACTTGTATAAACTTTTATTGGCAAGTGCGGCATTTGTGTACATCGATCATATTATTACTTCGGATTGCAGTGTTAACTTGCCCGGCATTATTTAGATATACTGTGACTTTGTGACACTTGCACAGGCAAGTGTTGCATGCATTGTTCAGTATTTAGTGTGGTAGTTCTGGTGACGGATGTTTAGTAGTTTTCTCTCTGCCCAAACATTCCCACTCCGCGAGTGGTGACTGGTGGCGTTGGTGACGCTCTATTACCTATTTTAAGATTTTATTTTCAAATAACTACTCGAATTACTTAGTGTTTGGGTAGAGTAGTCCTATTGTTATAAAATCTGAACGAAGTGCAGGAACCGGCTCATAACTGGTGGAGCTTTGACTCCTCTCCCCCCCCCCCCATTCCCCGACCCTCGTAATCTATAAATCTTCCATAATATTCCCCACCTAATACCCTTATGAGATAATTAATACAGCCCGTCCTAACAAAGACCCAAAAGTGATTCCATGCACCCGACAAACCCCGTTTATTAATGGAAAAACGATTTACACAAGACTTTCAACTGGTGACATTTGAACACTTCTGAACATGTTTACAAACTGATGGCGAGGATGATGAAGGGTTGAGCATAGGTGATATGACTAGTGGTCAGGGCTGTGTCGGTAGATTTCCTGTGTGTTATACGTGTCCCCAGGGAAAGGGGATACGAAAAATATTAATTCAGCCCGTCCTCGACTCTAGTCCATTCCATCCAGCAGACGACCCCAGACACTCATTTTTTTTTACATATTGTTCATTCAAACTGTGAGGACGGGCTGAATTAATATTTTTCGTATCCCCTTTTCCTGGGGTCACGTATAACACACAGGTAATCGACTGACACAGCCCTGACCACCAGTTATGTCACCTATGCTCAACCCTTCATCATCCTCGCAATCAGTTTGTAAACATGTTTAATAAAGTATTGACATTATACCTCACTGTTGTAATGCCTGACATAGACGAGGAATTTTAATGAGTTGACCGCTATAACGACCCGTTTAGGTGCATCTATGCATACGAAGCTGGCTAGTGGTCACTGGGTGGAGGCCATGAGCGAGGAGTGGCTGGCCAAGATGGAGGAGGAACAGACGCTCTACAACCATGGTATGGTCCGCATCAGGCCTGGAGGCTGGCTCTACCCGACGCTCTTCACCAAATATGCTGACACCATTTACAACTTCAAGGTGTGTTGTCATTGTTACTCTGATGACCCTTGAATATGGTTAATGTACGTGGTCGTGGGGACGGTGCTTGGATCCCTCGCCCCTGGTATATATGTGGGTGACAAATGTATACACTTGTGTGTTCTCTAATGTATACTACAATAAGGTTTCTCTCCAGTTCACTGAAGGTGACGTACTTGTGATGGGAATGCCCAGGTCTGGGACGACCTGGATGTTGGAGTTAGTGTGGACGATGCTTCACAACCCCGACCTGGACAACCAGAGGGCCGACCTGCCCATCTTCATCAGAGCACCGCATATAGAGTATGACATTTATTATTAGTTTATCAGTGTGATTGTCTTCGTAACGCCCGATATTAGTGGTATAATTATTGTAGTCTGATTGCTCCTAATAAATCAGTAGGCAAAAAAAAGTTAGTGTTAAGGGGGCGTCTGAGGATTATAGATGAAAGTTGTTCAATGTCGACCAATATTAATTTTTTAGTTGTATATGAAAAGTGCTGAAATTGTCAGTTTCAGTACTGCAGCGTAAATAGAATGGAATTTTTTTTGTTTTTTTCCCTCCAACGTTTTTTTTACACATTTTAAAGTCTACACTTTTTTTTTTTTTTTTTTTTTTTATATATATACAAGTTGTTACATTCTTGTACAGCGTTTATATCTGAAACCCACGTTTCAGATATAATTATTGTGACACTTTTCTGACACATTAGTATATAATAAAGGATTTGGGGCTTTAGAATTTCCAAAACATCTTTAGTTTTCCTAATACAAATGTTCAAAGTTCCCCAAATTTTTTTTGCAAATATGGCATGTTTATTGCTATTATAAAATCAATAAATGAACTTAGAGAAAAATGAAAGCCCCCAATGTAGAGACATGCCCTCCACATATACTGTGTAAGTTTCATGTAAATTGAATAAAAAATGAATCGGTTTTGTAAACGTTTGTGTCAATTGAAAAATAAAAACAGAAATGAATAAAGTCTAAGGTTCTAAAATCTTTGGCTGAAGTTGACATCAACCAATTTTCTCCAAAATTGGCATCCTTACAGATAGGCTTACGTACAGTCAGGTGTGTAAGTTTGATGCAAATCGCCCGAAAAAAAAAAATTCCTTTTTTCTTAATTTTTTCCAATTAAACTAATTATAATTATTTGTTTAATATATGCTATTGTGATAGCAAAGAGTTATAGCTATGATTTCAGTTGACACTTTTGATAATCGATTTTGACTATTTTTGGCATAATTTTCACAACTACTTCAATATTTTTTTTCTCCCTTCCTATTTATGCTACGATGCTGAAACTTAGACCAGATGAAACACTTTTCATATAGAACTTGTCAAAAAAGTTTGAAATCGAACGAGTTTTCATTTTTGCATTTTTGGACCCAGATGCCCCCTTAAGCTGCTTCGTTTTAAACGAACCCTAATTTGGATCGCTCTTTTATGGAAACCAATTTTTTCGTAATGCTAGTTTAGCAAATGGCAGTAAATTGGCTGATTTGCGGACGTACCTTAGAATAATTATCATTTTGAAGACCAGATAAAATTAGCGAAGATTTTAAGTCTGTATGACTCCATCCTGTGTGACTGTGTGATGGGGATTTTTTAGCATAAAGTAGTTACATTTTTTTGACACTCTGTACTCCACTTCATATAGTATAGGGTAGCTGCACTAAGGCAGATGTACCTCGTGTATTAATACAAAAAATAATTAAAATATGGCAACAAATATTTATGAACCATTTTATATCTTGACAAAAGATATAATGTCTTGGCAATTTTTTAAATTTTTTAGATTAAATTTCATTAAACGGTTAATCTTGCATAACATTGCGCCGGGTGTGGATGAAATGTAGTGTTGCATGTTTGAAACCCAATCTGAATCGGATTGGGTTTCAAATCGGTATTATTCCTTGTAGCATTTCCTGTGTTTGTACTTTACGTTGGTAGAATACAGACCTAAGCTGGATTGTTCGATGGTTGGTGGTTTTGGTTAGTGCTAGTTATATTATTTTTTATTTTTGAGAGGGGGGGGGGGGAAAGGGAAGAGATTATTTTGGAAAAGCGCAAAGCCATTACGACTGACTTGGGAGGGTTCAGGATATATCTTGAGAGTTTGTGCTTGTTTGTAATTAATAAGGCATCGCCCTTGTTTGACTGTATACTTGGGTAATGCATTATGCTCTAATACTGTTTACCTTTTAACTTTATCTTGTATTACACGGCATAATTTCTTCAGCCTCTAGAGTTGTGTGAACATTGCAACTGATTTTTATTAGTTGTAAAACGGGGGGGGGGGGAAGAATTGTAAGTCATTAATAGGTGAATATTTCTTAAAGTGGTGCTGGGCGAGGCAATATGCCACATCATAAATGTTCCGTGGACACAAGGCCTGGCAGACTAAATACTTGTAGTTGCAAGAAATAAATACATCACAAATTTCAAGCTATGTAAATACTGGTAGGGGTGCTAACTCCGTCAACAGGGTTAAATGCATTTGTAAAGTCACTAGAAACTAATACCTTCCTTATGTGCTATAGTGAAAATTTTTGGTTCATTACCAAATCAATATTTGAACCAGTCATCTTCATGATTGGTCCAAATACTTTGGCTCCGTACTGTAGTTAAATAAATTCAGGTCTTTCCTGTGAAGCAATTGCTTCAGATGTCTTGGAAAAATATTTCTCTGCCCTCTAACACGTGTCTTGTGTAAGCAAGATTATCATGTCTCTAACTCAGGTGATTGGTTCTCTTATTAGTCATTCGATAATTTACCATTGATGCCAAACTGTCGAATTTACTTTTCACTCTCACACCAAATTATTTTCAGGAAATGGGACCTTTTGACAATTAAACCCATTCCCCCTGTATTGAGAGTACTTGTAACGTAATTAGACAGTAGGAATCGGTGCTATTTGAATTTCGGAAAAAACTATTTTCTACTTTAGTTGCAAAGTAAAGCTAACCTAACCTTCCCTTGACCTAATACACGCAGTCTGCGGTTTAATATTGTAAATGTGTGCTATACTAGGCGTTGGCATATTTGATTTTTCTTTAGTTAAATATTTTCAGACTAAAAAGTGAGGTAGAACTTTGTACTATTAACTGCTTAGAACGCCAATCTTTGTGCTATGGTGCACAGTTACAAAAACTGTCTTAACAGGAGAATGGGTTACACAATAGTGACTGATATCCTATGGCAGAATATAGGCTGTGGGTATAGATCATATTCCAGTTGTAAAGTGAAGCCTAATATTGTTTTCGGATAGTGATGGTTTTGTGACAATTAGTGTTTGGTTTAAATGTCTTTTTATTACCTCATATGTAGAGCGCATGTTTACGCATGTGATATTGATGCGTGCTTGAATGTGAAATTTAGTGTAAACTGAACTATCGAGTGCAACATGTCATGTGATTAGTAAAATACCATTCGGGTATGGGTTGCAATGTATGAAGGCTCATTATATTGGTGCTGCTGGATGGTTTATATGAAGAAATATATTACTAAAAGGTATCGCATAACTGGTGACCGTTTAAGAAGTTACTCTTAATGTATTTATTCTGCAGCAATGAAAGATACGTATTTCTGCTGTGGGAAGTGTAGTAATAACAAACATTCCAGCTTTGACATGATGCTTGATAGCAAGACCATAAGAAGCACTGTTGAGAATCCTCAGCAGATCACAGAAATGTTTCGCCAAATGTGTCCAGGGAAGAAGGTAGAAGACGGAGTGTTTCTGCAGATTAGCGAGGCTTTACCTGCTCCTAGAGTGATGAAGACCCACCTGCCCAGCACCCTCCTATCGCCTAGCCTTCTTCAAACCACAAAGGTCAGAGTTGGCTACTGTTCTCTAATGGTTTAATGGGAATAAAATGGTTGGATTTGCAATCTCTGCTTCATGAAGCGTACAGGAAAGTCTTGGACTGTTTGGAATCAAACGATTAAATTAATAATTAGTTAAAATAGTTAAAAAAGATAGTAAGTAAAATGTTGAAAGTTCCCTAATCCTGCAGGTTCTAATGCTTCATTTAAAGATTAATATTAGTCTTAATCTAGATACTGACAAGACTGTTTACTTAAATAATTGGATCAAATTTTAAACGTGGGAGCCATGTGTAGTGGACATGTCGTGACCTTTTCCTTTCCCTCCTTGAGCCGCCGCCACCACCATCTGTGGTTTACTTGTTGACAGGTTCCAATAACCCTGCTCGGCACAGAACCAGTATTTCTTGTTGTTGCTCGATAAGGTAGTGGGTAGAAGACTCCCCAGGCCTGCACGCACCCAGATTATCTTGCCGTAACCTGTACAATTTTGGATAAACTTTTACCTTTTTTCTAGGGTTGGAAAATATGACTTGTGCAAGGAAGTGTTTTACGTCTATATATATATCGGTCCCTCCACTCTTCACTGGGCAGACCATCCTTCGAATAGACAGTACGGTTTAATACTAAATGTAATAAGTACAATCCTGACTATTGGCATAGTACATACACTTGTGCTACATTTACCTCCCCATATATTCTCCTAATATCGTGTTGATACACTCAAACTTCTTAAGTTGAAGTTTTCATGTTCAATTCTATATACATAAGTTTAAATTTTTTTTTCAATTTTATTCAGCAATAGATTTTATACAAAATTTGAATATCCTGAGTTGCTTTATAATTTACTGAATAGTTTTGTTTTATTAGTTTTATAAAATTGTAATATCAATATAGCTATAGGTTAAGTACTAATTGTAATTAAGGAGCAATAGATGCTATTTACATGCTTGTCCTCCCATACTCCCAAAGTTAGGTTAGGTAGTGGTTTTCTACAGCTTTGCAGGTACTCTAATATTCACTATTTAGGTGTGATGCTGGCGATTAAGTGTTTATGTACTATGCCGATAGGATTGTATTTATTACATTCAATATTAAAACGTATTCTCTATTCGAAGGATGGGCTGAATTGTGTATCTTGTTTATCAACCTGTCAACTGAGGCTTTAGTTTATTGGTATTAAAATGTTATGTGCTCGAAAGTGTCGTCCACAACACGTAATTTCGTGGCTAATTAACCATATTAGTTTCCTCCAGCTCCACAATTCATGCCTCCCGTGTTACCTGGTCTAAGGTGCACTAAATTATTGAAGTTATAGCAGACATTATTTTCCTCCTTTGTCTACATTGAGCACTTGAGGTTATCTTGAGATGATTTCGGGGCTTTGTGTCCCTGCTGCCCGGTCCTCGACCAGGCCTCCACCCCCAGGAAGCAGCCCGTGACAGCTGACTAACACCCAGGTACCTATTTTACTGCTAGGTAACAGGGGCATAGGGTGAAAGAAACTCTGCCCATTGTTTCTCGCCGGCGCCTGGGATCGAACCCAGGACCACAGGATTACAAGTCCAGCGTGCTGTCCGCTCGGCCGACCGGCTCCCTATCTGTACCCGGCCACACGTTGTTGTGGTTCGGCAACACGACCGCTTTGGTGAGCCTCGGCAACCCCCCCCCCCCCCTCCCATCGTCCTCTCCACAATTTCCCACTCCCTCGTTCAATGCGTTCCCAAATTATCTGATGTTCCCATTTTTCTGATGAACATAAAATAATCTGATGTTCCCATCACTGAAAAAAAAGTTAAAATAACGAAATGGAAAGGAATGAAAAATATAAAATTCTCACAATGAACGGTATGGTAATAAACACGGCTCAATTCAAACGCAACGTCACACACAATTAAATAAAAAAGTAGAAATCTATGAAAATTCAGTTAATCAATGCAATCGGAAACATTGAAATGGAATTATACCATTAAGTATAGTGAGTGTTGCTTTTATGTGCAACAGATGGCCCTGTTTTTAAAAAAAAACGTTTCTTTACCAGTCACAGGTGTGGCATCTATAGAGTAGGTATATAAAAACCATGTGCGTATTCAAATGAAACTGTCAAAATTTCATAACAATCGGTGAGGAACTTTCGGAGATTGGCGACTTTGAACAGACGAACATCTATGTTTTTGTTGTTGAATATGACCGAAAGGGCATGATTGATTCTAACACGAATCTTCTTTGTTTTTTCTTTAATGTCGAGGGTACTTGAAAAATTTACTCTGCAAAAAGTTCCTATTCACACTTTATTTATGATCCGACGCCTAGAAGCTTTTCACAAGAACTTCTTACATTTTCAGACAATTGTACGTTCTCAGATCGTGTTTATATTCGTTTGGGTGAGGTGATAGGATGCATATCAATGGGAAAAGACAGAACATGAAACAGTGGGTATATTACGTGTTTTATCTTCTTGCTTCTGTGCTGGTTCGGGGTCTTCAAGTGCGTAGAATGTAATTGTGTTAATTGGCTGTTGATTGCTGGTTTTGACTGTGTAGGGCCTCGCTGATGTCTAGTCTCCTGCTATCGTTGTACATGTCGATAATTTTTCTCTTAAGATTTCTCTGATGGTCTGGTTGTGTGAGGAGATATGCTCCTTGATGGAGTCCTGTTTGTGCATTGTTAATTGCCTAGAAAGAAACGTTGTCTTGCCTATATACTGAGATCTTTGAGGCTGACAGTCCCAAAGTGGGCATGTGAAGGCATAAACGACGTCGGTTTCTTTCAAGGCGTTCGGTTTGGTGTCTGGAGAGTTCATGAGCAGGTTGGCCATTTTCTTTTGTAGTTAATTGTATCTTCTGATTCGTCTGTGGGGATAGCGTTCCTATAAATATCTTTCAAGAAACTTTAACTCGGTTTTATGAGTTATCGAAAACTTCCTGTAAAAGTCAAATAGGAGGTAAAAGTGTTCTGTTATTTGACTCTTCAGAGGTTGCCTGGCGTTTCACTTTTTGATGTCAACATAACCGTTAGAGAAGCCATTGTTGACTAGGACCTGCCTTACTCTAGAGTTCTTCGTCGACCTGCTTACAACCAGAGCAGTGAGCGAGAGCTTGGTTGACACAAGCATTGGCGACACTCCTTTTGTACCTGTCTGGGCAGTCACTATTGGCATCGAGACACATTTCTAGGTTTCCTTAGTGTAGACTGCCGTGTGGAAGCCACCATTCCTTTCAGTGACTTACAGCTAAAAAGGGCAGCCTCCTATCACTCCATCTTGTAAGTGAAAATTGATGCCAAATTTTGCCAGAATGCCTCCTTCAGCTGCTGCAAACATGACATCGGGTATCTGCATAAATAACCATACCTGCAGTATATGGCGGGCTTTAAAGTCAATGTCAATTAAGTCGACAAATTTTATTTATATAGATATCGATGGTACATTGTTAGGGCTAAGTTTGACATGGCAACCAGTTTTTCATCTTAAACTGAATTTATAGTTAGATAAATGCACAAAGTTGTCTGCCGAATGTGTACTTTGTCTTGTACACTCGGCGTTGAGTGTATAAAGTGCGTGAAGCTAAATAAGAATTTCCAAATGGTTCGGTTAAGGATAATTGCTTTCAGACTGTTAATCACTGCATACTTTCGGTGATCACCTAGATTGTCCCTCGCAAACCTGCAATACACTTTACCCCACACACTTCGTAAGCAAGTTTGATAGCTTCTTAAACTGTGTGTGTGTGTGTGTGTGTGTGTGTGTGTGTGTGTGTGTGTGTGTGTGTTATGCAGTGCTGGCAGCTTCCACTTTTCCTTTAGTACACGACCACTATACAATGCCCTCTGCCAATGTTTTTACAAAAGTTGCTTTTACACTTCCTACAGCCCTCTAAAAGCCTGCAGATGAGATTAAAACACCCCTTCCCCCACGATTATTCCACCTGTCTTGCATAAAAAGACTGACCCAATGACTACTTTGCCTAATACTATTCCTTTACCGTAATCGTATGCAAAGCAGTGTCAATGTTTATGGTTATTTCTTTATTATTTTTAGGAAAGTGGTTTACATATGAATAGTGCCATTGAATATTATTACAGCAAAGTAGCCACTGGGGTCAGCCTGAATATGTAAGATGGGTGAAAGTTGATTTCACCTCTAACCTGCCAGTCAGTATTTGCTACTCTTGCCAGTAGCAGTCCATGGGGAGAGCCCCCCCCCCCCCTGTATTCTCCCACCAGATCCACCTCCCCTGTCTTGTGGCCAAATAATGTGATCACAACAGAGGTTATTAAATTTAATTTAATGGTTTCCCTGAGGGCTGAGTTTAGTAGGCACCGTCATTTCAACGAGTCTCCGTACCACCATACCAGCATGTAGACCGCCCCCCCCCCCCCATCAATAAGAAAACCCCCGTGTGTTATTCCTGTACCAAGACATCACTCGAGACGGTTAAAGTCCCAGCTAACATCTTCTCAAAGATTCTCATAATTTGTCATTACTTAAGATTTTAAGTTTCTATGCAGATGTAAAATGTGTGGAGGGATCCCAACATCATATTTTCCTAACTCAGTGATGGGCTTATTATTCAACACATTTTTCTAATGACTTAAGATACACATTCTCTTGTAGTTGTCAAGGCGGTGTCAGTCACTCGCCACAGATTCTGAAACTGATGTTCATCCATTTCCATCCCGAATCTCCATGGCTATTTGTATCGGATGGATTCTCGATATTACCGATTCCCTCCCGCAGCCACCTCTTCGTTCATAATGATGGCGATTGCCAGCTGCAACCCACATTGTACCAGTGTACAGATTCACTAGTTCTTCTGTCCTCCTTTTCTCGGTTACCTTGTCACGGTGATTTTGCGTGATAATACCTCTAATTTGTAGAAGTCTTGGGTATGAAGTATTCAATATGGTCTCCTTCAGCAGCCAGCACATCAGCTCGTTCATTTCCAGATTCCAACATGGAAGGGTCCACAAATTTGACTACTCTTCCCTGATATGTTAATACTCTCG